GGTGTAACACCCTAGTTTTCCTAAACTTAATTAAAGTTCTAAAACCAAATTAAGATAACTAAGCAACGGAAAATCAAACTTAATTAACAAACTTAGTAGGAATGTCACCGCCACAACCACCTTCCCATGGTGATTGCACAGGCTAAGGGTCAAACTAACATCCGAAATTTACTACATTAAAGTAACTTGGGGAAATAAGTATCCGGATGTCTATCACCAAACAAAATAACAAGTGTCTACATCCAAATCTCAAAAACATCAATAATAGATCAAGAGTTTAGACTACATAGCAACTAACTACACTAGTCTAACTCGAGCACTCTCAAGAGCTGGGCCCACCTGAAAGGGGTTTTGCAAATAGACAAATAGAAAACACCCGTTAGCACGAAGTTAAGTATAACTCCACTCAACCCTGTAAAATACTACAGTATATACTTTGGAAAAACATTTGATTCACAAACCCAAATTAAGCAATCTCAATCACTTAGATAAAACCTTAATATAAAACACAAAGCTTTCTATATGCTCACAACCTAAAATATCAAATAGGCATACTTCAACGATATCAAACCTAAAACATACTCATACTATCGCATACTTAACATAGCAAAACTCAATCCTGTAGAACATTTCAATAACAATCTCATGCTAACACATAAACTCATCAAGCAATTTCGAGCTATCAATTAATAAGAAATTATTCTCATGCTTTCAAGTTCTCATCATGCAAACTAGAAATATCAAACATCAATATGCAACTAAGGCAATCATACTCAAAATACAATCTCGGGTAATCATTCTCAATATGTAATCTAGTGCAACCATTCTTGATATGCAATCTCGTGCAAACATTCTCATTATGCAATCTTGTGCAAACATTCTCATTAAGCAATCTCGTGCAATACTATACTCGAATGCAATAAGATGACATAGGATAAGTATACTTATACACTCGTTTGTAAATAGAATACTTTTCTATGGAGGTTTCTTAGAGTCACAAGGACTCACATGCTTCTTTCTTTCTTAGAGTCGCATTGACTCACTTTCTTAGAGTCGCAATGACTCGCTTTCTTATAAATGGACGAGGTAGGAACTTCACCGTAGTGTGAATGAACCTATCTGGGCACGGCGTCTAGCCGGCCTAATTGTAACACCCCCCAAAACGCAAGCTATAAAAAGCCTTAACACATGCAGATAACATAACAAACAACTAGCACAGCGGAAGACAAAAAGGTAACTGGATAAACATAAATCCAAGTCATGGGGTGTTATGCCACGTTCATCAACAAGAATGAACGCTACAGCCAAATCTGCATTGTATACAACTATCCCAAATCTCACAAGTCTACAACTAGATAGGCACACAGGCCATAAAACAAACGGAAGGAGCTATGCTATCGGGTACTAGACTGCGCTCTCGTCTAGACATCACCTGAAAGATCACAAATAAACATGGGACGACGCCCGGTCAGCGAATAATGCCGGTAACCCACCAATACATGTGAAATAACATACATAAGTAAGGTATAAGTTGTAAAACCAGTTTCAAAACGGAATACATATATATAAGTGTAAAACCAAGAGTAAAAGCCAACATAAGACTCAACACTCTCCACAAACAACACACGGGAACACATCCCAAGACCACAAGAACAACACGACTCACAAAAGAGTCAAGGCATGGTCTATCATCACTCAATAGATCAAAACCCGACAAGTACAACGCAAAAGAATAAGACTTACACAACCGGCAACACATGCCTTTGTGACTACACACGTCACAAGAGAAGAACTCACAACACCGGCTACAATAGCCCTCGAGACATCACCCATCACGAGTTGATATGCCTGCCTTATGCCCTATTCCAACCTTATGGCTACCCCCAACCGTGTTTCTTCTTTCCAATCATTACCTCCAGGACCCCTGTACTTCTTAGTCCAACCTTTTCCCTCCGGGACTGTCGTCCCCCACCAACGACCACCAACGATGTAACACCCCGTGTTACGACCCCTAAAACCAATTAATCATTTAATCATTTACCCAAAAGAAAGAATTAAATTCCAGTAATTAATTAGGAAAAGGCTCACCATAGTCCATGGGCCCTTATCCCTAAAACCAATCCCCTAGTCCTATAAGGAATAAAATTAGCAAGCCCATAGTATTTGGACCCTAATTGGGACTCTTAGGTGTATAAATAGGGGGCATAGGGGGGTACCTAGAACCCACACCACAATAATCTCTCACCACACAAGAAGTTCCAAGAATTCCCCTAGGAGAAATCAAGAAAGGAAGAATCATAAAGAAAGACCCTTCATAGCCAAGGAAATTAATTAAGGCTAAGAGGTAACCCATGTCTCAACAAAACCTATTTTCTTCGCTATAATCCCCTTCCTTGGCGTCCTTCTATATGAGTGTGTCTTGTTTAATTCCTCTATGTTAATTGTGACATATTCTTGATGTTTGATAAGATGATTTGTGTGTATTCTTGATAATCTTGATGATGAAAAGAGGTTCTTGATGTTGATGTAATGATTCTTGACAAATCTGGATATTTCTTGATGCTAAAAATAAATTGTGATTTTGATGATTTGGGAGGGATTAGAGCCCTAGGATGAATTGGGAAGTTGTGTTGTAATGTTCTTGATTTATATTTGGGTGGGAATTCACATGTTCGAGTGTTGTTTATATTTAGAAGTCGTGATAGGACGAGTTATATGTGATTCTTGCTTTTGATCCGTTAATTGACTACGTGGCGTCGTTAATTGTGTTTAAAAGTGTCTAAGCATGGTTTCGGGTTCCACAAAGGACCCCGGGGCGAAATATTGATGAATGAGTCAGTGGGGGGTAGGTGGGGTAGGGGTACCCGCCACCTACCCGCTGCCCGAAGATCACCGCCGGGCAGCGGGCAGGCGTCCGCCCGCCGGCAACCCGCTGTCGGGCAGTGATCTCCGGCGGGCAGCCGGCGGGTGATCCCTCACCCACCGGCTACCCGCTGGTTCGTGACCCCTCTAGGGTCCCCGGCTTCCCCGTTTGATGTCCCCCATTCCCCGTGGCATCCCAACGGTCCCCGTTCGTCGTACCTAAGTCTAGTTTGATGTTTCGGGTACCGTTCGTAGGATAGGTGAATCCTAGGAATTGCATGCTAGTTGAATTGGTAGCCCGTTGACCTAGTTCGAAGTCGTATGAACCCCTTAGGACGATTCTTAGTTTGTGAATGATCACACGTAAGTTTAATTATATGCCTCCCCTTCCCAATGTGCTATTATGAGCTATAACATGTTATGTGATGCATGATTCCCCAATTTGGTTGCGATCAAATTGGCTATACGGGCAGTTGGATGGGTTGAGAACCATATGAACTGTTAACCAGGCCGGTTGCGATCGGTCAGGTATAGAAATATTATATAGGGCTGCGGTCCACTGTTTGGCAACTTATGAGCTGCGGTTCATTCTCCTGGCTGCGGTCAGTGATTCACTTCTTGGCACTAGTACAAAAAACATCAATAAAATTGACTAATTCGCGTCCAAAGTTAGAACTTTGGACGCCTAAAGTGTAATGCAGTGGCATTTTTGTAATTAAAATGCCACTATATAAATATTTTTTTTTTTTAATTTTAAAAAAATATTTGCGTCCAAAGGTCAGTACTTTGGACGCGAATAATAATAAATTGCATCCAAAGTGGTCACTTTGGACGCGGTTTTTTTTTTTTTTAAATCCTAAAAATCCTAGCTCTATATCAAATCGCGTCCATCTCCATCCATCGTCCCGCCGTCCACGCTCTCCATCTTCCCGTCCATCGCCGATCTACGTCCCGCCGCTGCCGATCGACGTCGCCGCCGCTGCCGCCCAAGGTCGCCGCCCCGACGCCTCAGCTCGCCACCGCAGTACGGAAGCCGACGCCGCCGCTGTACGCTCCCCAAAAAGGTAAGAATTAATTTTTTTTTCCTCACTGGAATATGTCGTATGAATTATGCTGAAATTTGGAAAGAGTTTGGGTGTCTGAAATTTTTCTTCTTACCCCGTTTTTCAGCTTCAATCTCCACTGCTACAAAACCCCAGGTTTGTTCTTGCTTTTCCCCCCTTCTTTTCATCTTAGTTTCTGCTTAAATTTCCCATTTTCTTGAACTTTTTTTGTCACTATAAATGGTGGGATTTGATTTATCACACTGTGGATTGGTTTTGTTTTATTATTTCTGTAATTGGTGCACTGAAGCTCTAAAGATTTCAACTTTGAGAGTTTAGGGGAAATATGTTTAGTTCTGTTTTTGTGTATTGTGGGTGGGTGGGTGGGTGGAGGGTTTGCAGTTTGAGCAATTTGGGCATGGAGGTAGAGGGGTATTTGGATGAATGTACATGTAGACTTGCAATTCTCGAAGATAATACATTGGATACCATGACCCTTCTATGGTTATCTAATCTAGCTCAAAACCATTTTAGTTATAGCTTCAATTCTTCACTGTTATTTCCATTATTGTGTAAGCTCCTCAATTTGGTTTCCATGGATCTCTGTTGGAATAATTTTCAAGGTTTAATTCCCCATTGCCTTGGAAATTTGACTTCTTTAACCTCTCTTCAGTTATGATACAATAGCTTTGGAGGTTCAATTCCAAGTAGTATCAGTCATCTTTGTAGATTGCAAAGTCTAGATTTATCTTCTAATAATGAACTAAGTGGGTTGTTGATGGATTTCTTAGGGGCTCCATCTGAGTGCCTTTCACATAGTTTGCAAATGTTATCCTTAGATTTCAACAATTTTACTGGTCAACTACCAAATCAGTTATACAAGTATACAAATTTGAAGAGACTTTCTCTCTCTTCAAATTCCGTCTCTGGTCCCATAGCAGATTCACTTGGAAATTTGTCAATGTTGTCTTTCTTAGATATTTCTGAAAATAAGTTCAATTGAAATTTCACTTTAAACAGTTTTTCTACCAACCACCATTGTGTTTAAAGTACTTATCACAATGGTATTTAGAAGTGCCATTTAAGTTCTTTTTAATGCCTGCTGAGTTGATGCTTTCTTTTTCTTTCCATTTATTCAATTATTTACTGAAATTTGTGCTTTTAGCTGACATTTGCTTTGCAGTCCCTAAAGGTCATAATATGAATGTAGGGTGTCAGTTATTCTGTCTCTATTGTAGACCTGTCTGTGCATTTATCTGATTTATGTTTATATGTTTTTTGTTCGAGGCTAAGTTTTTCTGCAAAGTCTGGCATTCTTGGAAGTCTTACATGGCGCTATAGGTGAAATTGCGATATGGGTTTTCACTTTTTTGCATTATATAATGGCATTCTATAGTTAATTGCTGATTGTGAATTGAAAATTTTGAGCTTTAATTAAGGGATTGTTCCTAGTGGAGTGCTACTCCCTTTGATGCAGTGGGGTGGGAGAACTCATTTTTTACTTGCTATCGTTCGCTCAATCACAGAGGTTTGCATCCTATATTACTTCTCTAAATTAAACTTTCATTAATCAATACTGTCCTGGATGTTGGGAAACCTTTGTGTTTGTTTTGTTGAGAAGTCCTAATGGATGCAATTGCTTCAAAATTTGTTAATGTCATATGTTGTTTCCTCTCCGGGTATGAATTATTTGACTGGAAATATTTGTTAACTTAGTTTTGCTGCTGCTTACTATAGGTCCAGGAATTGCCAGCAGTTTTCATAACGTTTTCTGCTTGGAGCATATCGGAAGTTTGTTGCTTTCTTCTCTTAAACATTCAGTTGAACGAACTATTCTTTTTAATCGTATTGAATCCCAAATCTTGGTTGGGATTATGACATTGTGTTGTTTTATGCAGGTGATTAGATATTCACATTATGCCTTGAATTGCATTAGCTCTGCTCCACATTGGGTCACTTACCTCAAGTTTGATTTTTTTTTTTTTTTTTTTTTTTTTTTTTTTTTTGTACTTGAAAGAATAGGAGTAGTGATCGATTAGCTGAGGCTGGAGATTGTATGATTGGAAGCTGTTGTCTGATTTTATCGTCATCAGGTACACTGCTTTTATCGTGCAGCCATGTCCCTCTTCATCCATTCATACTGCAGCCATGTCCCTCTTCATCCATTCATACTGCATAAAAACATTGAGGTAATTCTTTTAGTATTTGATAGTCACATTAAACTCTGAGTCTCTGACTAATTCAAAGTTGAGTTGTTGTATGGACACCATTTAGGAGTTACATTCACAAGGCTCAAACTCTAAACCTTGCTTAAAGGGAATCAAGTTTCTTTTACTCAGATCATAGGTCATTGGTATCATATAGTAAGTAAGATGAACAAAGTGATGAAGTTGATATATTTTAATTGTTAACATTTAAGTAGTTTATTTTAATTGTTAACATTTAGAATTTGTAGTTTATTTGTAGTAAAATGTTATTAGAATTGAAATTTTAGATTGGTGTATTGTAGTTGATAGAATTGGTGTGTAGTATACATCTTAAATTGAATTGAAATTTTAGAATTGGTGTGTTGTAGTTGATAGAATTGGTGTGTTGTAGTTTATAGAATTGGTGTGTGGTATACATTTTAAATTGATTAATATTATTTGGTAGTATGCTGGAATGTACAGGAATATATTGGTAGTTTTATAAAAAAAAAAAAATTTTTTTTAAAAATTACCACAGGGCGTCCAAAGTTAAACAACTTTGGACGCGTATAGTATTTTATTTAAAATAAATAAACACTATACGCGTCCAAAGTTCATGAACTTTGGACGCGTATAGTGCTTTTTTATTTTTAAAAAAATACTATACGCGTCTAAAGTTCTTCAACTTTAGACGCGAATTATCATTTTTCGCATCCAAAGTAACTTTGGACGCTAATTGTATATACAATTAGCGTCCCCAACATCTGCATCCCAGCTACTTTGGACGCGAATGACTATTTCTGTACTAGTGTGGGCTGCGGTCCACATGGGCCTCGGTGCTGTGACCCACCGGACCTGAACGCGTCAGGACGGTGTGTAGGGCCAATAAGCCGAGGAAGGCTGTAGTCCACCGATCCGAGCAATCGGGGCGGTGTGTAGGGCTACGGCTGGCTGCGACCCACCGAGTGATGGGACGACGGTGTGTAGGGCCATAGTCTCCGAGGATCTTCGCCCACCGACTGAGTATAGCTCAGCGGTGTGTCGGGCTTGATCCGCTATGGTCCACCGGCGTACCCATCGGCGGTGTGTAGGGTCGTAAGTCCCCCCTTGAAAAGGGGATCGTAATCCACCGACTGGGTGCGTCAGCGGTGTGTAGGATCGTGGTCCGACGTTGAGTTCGTCAGCTGTTCTCAAAGGGTTGGTTGCGATCAACTCCCCTCATACCGCGGTACTGAGGTAGGGTGCTGCCGGGCCGTGTTAATGCTATAAGCATTAACCCTCATGTTCGGGGCATGCGATTGGTCCCGTGGCGCCATCAACGATTATGTGATATGAATGGTGATTGAATGATGATGTGATTTGGAAATTTGGAAAATGTTCGGTGACCTTAGATGCGTATTCCCTATGGCGTTATCTCTACTTAATTGTTTATTGTTGCTTGATGAGCTTATCCCTATTTGCTGAGTTTATTTCTGGTTTTAAAACTAGTGTCTCTTAAGTATATGTCTTCCTGCTTCGAAATGATTTTCGTATATCTATATATATCTATCTATAATGTATTTCAACGCGTTGGAGTAGGTTACCAGAATCTCTCGCTGAACGGATATATTTGACTTTCAGGCACAAATGAGTAGACACTGGAGCACGCTAGAGATTTGGAGCGTAGAGTAGATAGTTTCCCTTTCGGCCTGCGTGCCATGCTTATGTATTGACATTATTAAGGATTTTAGTTAGATAGCCTGTGCACCTGAGTTCTCTAGCTCAGGTGTGGCATAGCGCCCCATACTCTTATGTTATATTTTTGGAATTTAATGAGAATCTACCTTTATTATATAAGTCTTAAAAGTTGAAAAATTTCGGGGTGTTACAAACGAGACCACCAATTTCATAGTACACAAGGTACCGTACACACACACGGCGACACACGCCTTCCCAAGAAAATACGTGAACCTGACACACAGGTCACAACTCCATAATCACGTCACGGCCACCACGAGGACCGCTGCAATACCTTGGTGACTAGTGTCCCATACCACTAATCGTGCAATCCAGGTAAAGCCACGCACACATCACACTTCAACAGGAATCAATCAACGGATCACAACGAAGATATGAAACCATACTCAATCAAGGAATGGGTCACAGCCCAACAACAACAACGATGAATAACACAAGTTATCATCAACCAATCGGAAGGTACAAACAACACACACGCTAGCATTTAAACACCGAACTAGCATGCTTATCAAACGGGTAAACCAAGTATAGTTTCGAAGAACACACAAGACTCATCACGATTTAACGAAACACAATGTTGAACACTTAGCATGATTCACGACACCAAAACCTACATGGAATCCTACCATATAGTTCTAGACATACGAAACATCAAGAAGACACTCAAATAGTTCCACAAAAGAACATCGGGAAGTCCAAAGACCAAATACCGAGTCAAAAGAATCACGGGGAACAAATCCCCCAAACCACTCCACTTGTGTACCCGCGGGTGGACCCACGGGTAGTGCCCCACCCGTGGTTCCGCCCGCGTGAACACATTCCTACAAGGCCCGTACCCGCGGGTGGGGCGACGGGTGGTGCCCCGCCCGCCGTTCCGTCCGCGGGTACAATCCTGTACCTCAACAACACACTTCGCGAAATTCATCTCCAAACACAAATTCAAGTCCAAAACATGCCAAATCTCACCAAATACAACAAAATGACTTGAATCAAAGGAAATGCCAAGCAATGGCACACAAGAACCCTAAACACAAGCTCTAGATATGCATTTTCACAAGATTATGCATCAACACTCACATTTCATAGCAAAACACATGTAGAATCCAAGAAATCACATATAGGTAAGCAAAATAGGTTTTGTAGAGCATGGGTTACCTCTTGTAAACTAAAAAACTTCACTTTACACCTTAACAAGCTCTTCTCAAGGCTCACCTTCCAAACCCACTTCAAGAACAAACCAAAAGATCATAAAGATCCTACCTTTAAGAAAAGACACCTAAGATGAAACCAAAAACGCAAGATGGACTTAGATCTTACCCTCCTAGATGCCCAAATAGGTGAAAGGTTGAATCTTGGAAGCAACTCTTGAAGTCTTGGCAAGGTCTCAACTTGGCTTGGAAGAAAAGCTACTCACCTTTTTAGAGAGAAGGTAGAGCTTAATTTTTAGAAAGTGTAAGGGATAGAATGAAGATGTCTACAAGGTTAGGTTACAATACTAACACTAGGTGAAAGGTCAAGAATGCCCTTACTAACATTAGGAAATGTAAGGAACAAGGGAACTCCCTTCAAAGCTCAAGGTACAACTTTGACTTTGGAATTGACTAGTCAAATACTAGTCCTCAAGTATTGAATTTCAGGATTTTAGGAATTAATTCCCCAATTGAAATAGGATTAATTACTCGATTAACCCATTAATTGAATTTGTATTTTGGGGTGTCACACTAATACTCTGCTCGTCCACTGAACCACTCTCTTGGTTCTATGCTCAAACTCTGTGGAATCAGGTATCGACCTATTAGCGTGCACACCCCCTGACCAGGATTCCAAGCCTGGCGGGCAGTTTCCAACCTTGTAACGTGGGAATACACCGCGTTACATGTCATCGGATCGCAATGTCCGGTCAACTTCTCCGAAAGGACGTAGTCCTATCGGGCCCTCCAAGACCTCACATATATATATATATATATATATATATATATATATATATATATATATATATATATATATATATATATATATATATATATATATATATATATATATATATATATATATATATATATATATATATATATATATATATATATATATATATATATCTCATGCACCAAACTTATGCATGCCACATCTCAACAACTTCTCAATGCAAGAAGGTAATGACATACCACATGCTCACGAATTTTGGAAAATAATACCTACGCTCACGTTGGCCATTTATGCACTTATAAAACATGATATGCTTGCGATCTAATTTATTGTGCACATGCTCCAATTCTATATATCACTGTGAACTCTCAAAGAACACACAATCATGCTTGGATTACAAAATAACATACTCTGTACATTTCTACCATCAAAATAGACTACAAGTTCCATTGAACATAATGCACACTCTAATCATGCTTTTCCAACAACTCTTATTCACAAAATGTTCATGCTTCTCTATTTAATACTCAAATAGCATCAAGAAGATAATAACAAGCAAATCCCATAGGCAGTGCAAGTCTGATGAACTCATATTAGCATTACAGTAAATCATTTCATCACAATTTCTATCATAACATGCTCATTTCTAATCCAAACTCAACGAAATCAAAGTCCAAACGTGTGTCATGACGGCCCCAGGGTACCGAGCCCCAAGGGCCCGTGACACCGGGTCCGAAACGACACGTAGCTGAGCCACAAGGGCCCGGCCACTGCACAGGTAACCATTAACGGACCTAGCGGCGGGGCTCCGCCTGGAACCGTCCGGCAGCGGCCTAGGGCCGTCTAGCCACAGCTCTAGCCAACGGCTCCCCTCGTGGGCCGTTGGCTAGGCCTGTGACGCTCACTGGTGTACACTGGGTTGTGCACCAGAGGCTTCTTCTTCACCTCTAAAGCATTTGCAGACAAAATTCCACTTCCAAATCATCCCCAACACATTATTCAATATCAACAAATCATCTAATAGCTCAAACACACAATAATCTAACATTTCTACTCATTTCTAGCTACAAAGCAGTGACTTCACAAAGTCAATAAGAGATTGGGAATCCATAGGGTTATACCTTTGATCCGAGATCCAAAGCTACGCATTCGATTTTTGAGCTCACTCCCGAGCTAACCACTTTAACAAAGAACCTAAACTCCAGGTTCCACCGTCTGCAAAGGAAAAGGGGTCTCCGGGGCTTTACTGCTGCCGTTGCTGCCTAGGCGGGAAGAGAGGAAAGGGTTCGCCGGCTGCTGCTGCCTCCCGCCGGACCGAGGACACCACCGGTTACCTTTGGTCGCTGGCGTACGCGAGGGAGAAGAGGGACGTGAGAGTGAGAGAGAGCTGAAGCTGCTGCTTCTTTCTTCTTTTTGGTGAGAG